ATAAACGAAACAAAAACAGCTACATTATAAAGTCATGCAAATAACTAAAAACAGGAACATGTCTGTTGGTTTATGCCATGAACTTAGCAGATGTTTAAAGCCATTTAACATTTTATTTTATTAATTCATTTATTCATTCATTTAAAAGAAACAAAACAAATTCATCAAAAAGAAAACATTGAATGAAAAGAGTGCAGAAAGGAGACAAATCTTATGTCTGCCCCTTATTTAAAAAACATAAAATAACTTTAAATAATCACTTAAATTAATCACTTTAATATCCACTTTAAAGCTAGGAATAAAAAGAAACATGTTTTGAGTTAGAATTTATTTCTAATTTTAAAACTTATCCAACATTAATACAACTTACCTCAAGTTGCCTTTTTGGACAAGCATGTATAGATTTGTACAAATTGTACTTGAGAGGAGATTATTACAGCCTCATATAAAATCTATGATGATCATGATATCGGAACTGGATTGGTATTGTAAGATATTTAGGTATCGGGATCGGATCGGAAGTAAAAAAATGTGGATCGGTGCATCCCTAGAATCAAGTGTTTACTTATGTAGGTAAAACTAGATATTAAACAACACATTAAAATACACTAGAATGCAGGAAATGGCATCTACTTTTTTCAAAAATTTCTGGGGAAGGACCCCCAGACCCTCCCACCAATGTGCCCTCCCCCCCTCCACATTACAAATGCTTCTGACACCAATGGCCACTGTGTTGTTCAAGCCAACAGCCATTGTTGACACTGGGGGCTAAAGCAGCCCTAATGGGCATATTCTTGAATCACCCTTGATGTAAGATTATAATTACATGATTTTAATAATGATAGGTCGTGATCTAAAGTGGGCCAGTCTGAGGTATGAAACTCCAGGGCTGAAAATGAAAATGAGTCCCACTCTGGCCCTGCTAAGAGGGGTTGCATGTGCATATTTTTCTGAGCTAACTTTATTGTGTCTTAGGCAGCTAATCTCACTCCCCTGCTTGTTTGTTCAATGGAGTTGACACCATGTATGGCAGGCCATATCGACATACAATCAAAACACACACTGTTTTGTAATTACTATTTTAAATATCAATTATAAGTGATCTCCTAGCACGGTGGCGCAACTGGTAGAGCTGCTGCCTCTCAGCGAGCAGGTCCTTGGTTCAAACCCCGGTCCAGGGGCCTTCTGGGTGGAGTTTGCATGTTCTCTCCGTGCATGCGTGGGTTTTCTCCGGGTACTCCGGTTTCCTCCCCCGGCCCAAAACATGCATGTTAGGCTGATTGGTAACTCTAAATTGTCCCTAGGTGTGAGTGAGAGAGTGAATGGTTGTTTGTCTCGTTTGTCTCTATGTGGCCCTGTGATGGACTTGCGACCTGTCCAGGGTGTACCCCGCCCCTCGCACAGTGATTGCTGGATGTGGGCACCAGCGACCCCCGTGACCCAAAATGGAATAAGCGGGTAAAGATAATGGATGGATGGATGGATGAAGTGATCTCCTTGTTACAATAACATTCTTACGAGTTGGAATTGAAATGAAAAAATATTCTGTACATTTTCATTTAATTTCATTTCACCTTTATTTAACCAGGCATAAACACTCAGAACATTTTTTTATTTACAGAGCTGGCCTGGCAGCACCAACAGACACTTGTCGGGACAAGGGAAGGGAAACAATACAGTTAGGCAAACCAATAAAATATAGAAGTCAATAACAAACAAGGAAATCATGATTTACATCAACAACAGTTCATTGTCAAAGTTAAAAACAACATTACTAAGTCAGAGTCAGAGTTTCTTTATTGTCATTCGCACCTCATGTGGTACATGTGGTGGAGTGAAATTATGTTCACAGGGTCCCAGTTACATCCAACAATAAAATGTATAAGAAAAACAGTAATAACATCTAAGATATGAACTAAGAAAAACATCAACTAAATATACACTAAGCACTCATAACATAAAACATTGAACATCAGCACAAACATGAACATGAGTCTGTGAGCAGATGTGCACGCATGAACACATCAACAATGAAACAGATCAGCAGCAACATTGAAACAGATCAGCAGCAACATGAAACAGATCAGCAGCAACATGAAACAGATCAGCAGCAACATGATGTGATTTTTCACAGTGACTATTCTAGTTAGAGATTCATGAGTCTAACAGCCTCAGGGTAGAAGCTGTTCCTCAGTCTAGTGGTTCTACACTTAATGCTCCTCAACCTCCTTCCTGAGGGGAGTGGGGCAAAAAGTGTGTGCTGGGTGAGTGTGGTCCTTCATGATGCAGGTGGCCCTCTTCCTGCATCTGGAGGTGTAGATGTCTGTGATGGTGGAGAGGCTGACTCCAACAGATTTCTGTGCAGCCTTCACCACTCTCTGCAAAGCTTTTCTTTCTGCAGCTGTGCAGCCTCCATGCCACACGTTGATGCTGGAGCACAGGATGCTCTCCACTGCACACCTGTAGAAGGAGGTGAGGACTGAGCTTCCCAGACCAGCTCGTCTCAGCCGTCTGAGGAAGTAGAGTCTCTGATGAGCTTTCTTGATCAGGCTGGTGGTGTTGTTGCTCCAGCTGAGGTTGTCATTCATGTGTACACCCAAGTACTTGTAGCTGGAGACCACTTCCACCGCATATCCTCTTATGTTCAGGGGGGTGTAGATGTTTTTGTTCCTTCTGAAGTGTGAGGATTTCTCAGCAGGAGACCCATTTGGTGCAGGCAGGCAGGCAAGACTCAAAGAATATAAATCAATATTTTATTATTTACAAAATAAAGATGGCTGACGGGGCAGCAAACTTACATAAATCATGGGACAGGACGCAGGACTCAAGGAGCAGGACACGAGGAGCATAACAGGCATCACAGAGAGACACAATGACCAGAACAATGAGGGACGCAGGCAGACAGACTTGAATACACACACACTAACAAGACTAACACAGAACACCTGTGAAACATCACAGGTGCAGTCATCAAAGGGGGAACAGACAAATATGGAACACTAGAGGGAGACAGAGACCAAGGAAAGCATAACTCCTAACAGTACACAAAGTTTGTTTTCTCAGTCATCCAGGTATATAACAACAAAAAAGGTTGAATCATGTCATCTGGACTTCGTTTTTTTGTTAAAAAAAGTCAGGGTGGCTTCTGGGTAATACCAGATGGCTAGGCCTCAGACTGACGAAGCCTCTTGGACGAGGGGCGAAACGTTTCTTTTTTAACAAAAAAACGAAGTCCAGATGACATGATTCAACCTTTTTTGTTGTTATATACCTGGATGACTGAGAAAACAAACTTTGTGTTTTTGAAACCATTAGTGAAAAGGCCAGACTTCAGGGGTATCTGAGGCAGGCTTGAAACACAAGAGTCAGGGTGGCTTCTGGGTAATACCAGATGGCTAGGCCTCAGACTGACGAAGCCTCTTGGAGGAGGGGCGAAACGTTTCTTTTTTAACAAAAAAAACGAAGTCCAGATGACATGATTCAACCTTTTTTGTTGTTATATACCTGGATGACTGAGAAAACAAACTTTGTACGTTCAATAAAATTAAACTCAAACGCAAATGTTTTTGTTAACTTATTTTTATATATGAATGTTTCTGTTCAGTGCCCCGTGTTAAGCTCCGCCCATTGGTGTGTTGAACCCATGTGCAGGAGGAGCATGAGAACAGGAGGGAAACACTGTGAGGTGACTGAAAACTTGAGGAAACAAAGACAGGACAAACCCCCGAACCCTTACACCCTGAGAGGACTTCTGTTGTGACTTGTTGCTATATAAATAAACTGAATTGAATTTCATGACAAGTATGTAGAGAAGTCTTTTTAACAAGAGAGTAGAGGTGGCGATGATGTGTTCTATAAAAAGCATTTGTAACAAAGTCTGCTGGATTTCAAGAAAACCATATGCAAGTGACTTCACAGCGTCATCTGAAGCAGAACGAAAAGCATATAAAAGACTGTCTTCAGCATGTACAGGAGCGGAGGCCTCACTATCAAAATGTGAGATATCATTTATAAATGTGGAGAAAATAGTTTAAACAGAAAATATTTTTAAACTTGCAATCATACCCTAAAGGTGGTTTCTCACTAGACAATGAGTAGTTAGTGAAAAATTGTCCAAATGTCTTCAGAAAGTTTTTCACAGGTTTCTGAATGTACTGGCGTGGATTGCAGATGGGGTGCTGCCTTGTCGCATGAGTTTTGAACATACTCTAAAAGTTTGTGTGATAACTTTTCTTTTAATATAGTCATATAATCAACTTGTTCTAAACTTGCTTGAATTGTGTTGTGGACGGATCAGATCCTAAAAAAACTCAACAAAAAATGAAAGTAAGCAAAATAGTGGCACCTTCATCCAAAAGGGATTTAAAAATAAAGCTATGTCAAAGCTTTTAAGTTGTAAAATTGTACATTTACAAGAACAAGGCCAGTTTATATACCAGATGTTCAGAACCCATAAAAATGTATTTTATATATATATATATATATATATATATATATATATATATATATAAAAAGCATTAATAAAATCTGTTTTTGTTTGATTTCTAATAATTCTTTGACATTGTATTTGGACATGCGTGTCCTCTCGCATCTACCAGGGGGTGCTGCAGCACCTTCCTCACCCCCAGTCCTCATGGCCTTGGACATGACGGACAAACCTTTGGCTAGTCTGGATGCAGCCAAGAACAAAGCATACTGCTGTCCTCTTGGATTAAAAAAAACAGTTTATGAAATATTGTATCAGTACTTCCAAAGGTTATTTTACAAACCTTAAACATTAGTTACATAAAAATCTGTGGTTGTTCAAAGAGCTATCTACACCATGAAAGATAATAGATGAGCGCCACTTCTAAATGGCCAGACACTTTTAAAGTATGTACTAAACATTTGGTGGAAAAGACATGTGATAAAAATTACCTACACAGAGTGTACCCAGCTGAAAGCATATTTTTTAAAACATCTTTAAAGAAACATAGAATACGTGGAGTGTATGAACAGACCTGTTTGAGGGTCCACAGAGAAAAAGTCTTGGCCGTGTAAAATCCCGTACACCAGCCGGGCGCTGTTTCCATATGTTGGATCATCAGCATCGACAGCAGTGACTTGAATTACAGACGTGCCTGTTAAACAAAAGAGGCATGGTTAAACAGTTAAGTCATACATTGTTACCCTAAATCTTTCTTTATCCTATCTGATATTTATACTGTTAGCCTGAGAGAATAATATCTCCTGTTGTGTCTTCATGTTTACAGATGGTTCTAAACGTGATACTGTGACGCACAACTATCCAACTGGATCTGGTGCCAGAAGGAGTGTATTTAGTCCACATTTGGGTAAAAATAGTAATTAGATTGTATAGCAGCATCTGAAGTCTGAAAGTCTCTCAGAATATGAGGAACAAGATTGTTTGGTGTGATCAAACCAAGGTGAACTGTTTGGCTTCAGTTCTGTCTGGAGCAAGGGTCGCCAAACCTTTTTCCTCTGAGAGCTACTTTCTCAATCTGAAAATGACTGAGCTACTCAGGTTTTATTTTTATAGCCTACTTTCACCCAAACCATTACAATAAGCTTGTTTTGTCTACAAAACATTGGTGTCCTAAACACAATAAAGCATTGCAAAAATGTACTTGAATGTGGATTATTACCTGCAGTGTTCCCTCAGTGAGAGCTGAACTAGAAAAAAGGACCTTCTCCTACTCCGCTCCTGTTTCTTGGAACATCTTGTAAAAAGACCTGAAGCTCTCGACCTTTGACCTCTCTAAGTGGCTTCAAACATCTGTTAAGTTCCTGACAAAAACCAATGCAGACAAGTTCCTGTTTTTAGTATTTTACATGGCTTTACAATCTAGCCTTTTTTTGGTTTCATTTTTACTACCATTTTATTTTCACTTGTTATTCTCATTTTGTACACTTCCTTAAATGATTGTCTATTGTTGTCGTTGTTATTTACTGCTGTCATCACTCTTTGTTAAAGAAATCAGGTCTCTCTTGTAAATGAGTCCCTGAGGCTCATTGGGATTAACCTGTCTAAATAAAGGTGGACTGAATTATGGCCTGTCATTATCACTTGTCACTGACACAAACTTTCCAACCAGGACCTTTTTAGCTGCAAAGTAGTCTTTCACAGCTAAGTAAAAAATTAATTTGTTGCTTGATGTTTTAGGGGGAGTAAGATCGAAAATTCTTTGGTGGAAAAGTCAACAAACACCATCCAAATCCAAGCAACCAGCCGGGGTGTTTCGATTGCGTTGACAGACTTGTCACGCTGAATTGAAAACCGTTCGCTCTTGTCCAGGACACATTCTAGCTGTTTAAACCCACCTGTGGAAAATGTAAATGGACTATGGACTACACTTATACAGCACCTTTCTATCTTATTTCAAGACACTCAAAGCTCTTTACAATCTGTGCCTCATTTACTCATTCATACAGCTCTATACTAGATCTCTGCAAAGATAATTGAACAAATCATTCTAAAGAGACTAATCAGAGCTTTAGATCACATTCATACACTGATGGGACACACATCAGAGGTGATGAGGGGTTCAGTGTCTTGCCCAGGGACACTTCAACATGTGACTGCTGGTGGATTCGAACCCCCAACTCTCACATTGGAGGACGACTGCTCTAACCACTCAGCCACAGCCGCCCCCAAATGTAGACAAGCACTGTGCAACAAATTTAACAACAAGTTGCACATCAGATAAAACTTGTTTTACATCTTGTGGTCCTGGAACAGAGACAGCCACCACAGTCAAACCCTCACAGATCAGAAAACACACACATGTTGGAAATGTAGAAACAGAACTGTTTCCTACTCCTCATAAAAATGGTACATTTTTTGTCTCTTACTGAGATAGCTAGCCTAATTGCTGTGGTCATGGTGGCTGCCTGTCTCACATCAGCACTGACTCAAGCTTGACAGCAATATAACTGTTTGACTGACAACTACGGTAATTGTCAAATCAATTTTTAATGTAAGAAGGGGTGGGGCATCTATGGATCTGATTGGATATAAATGTAAGTTTGTCTGTCCAGTGACTACTCCAGATTTTTTATCAACCCTTTGAGGCGCTACTTAAAAAAAGCTTGGAGCCACACGTTGGAAACACCTGGTCAGCACAATAACAGTGAAGCATGGTGGTGACAGCACCATGATATGTTGGTGTTTGAGGCAGCAGGGTGAGAGACAGAACAAGGTTGACTGATGAAGCCTTCTGGATGGAAGGTGAAACATTTCAGCAAAATAAGAAACCGTCTAGATGACCTGACTGAAAATTGTTGGAAGGCTGAGGTTGATCTTTCATCAGAAAGACTTCATCAGTCTGAGGCCTGCCAACAGGATCTGCCTTATTGACGTGTTGCAGCAGCCTGCTGTGCATGAATTCACAGAAACTGGCTTTACACCTTAAAAACCATCAGTAAGGTGCACAGACCTTGTTGGCAGGCCTCAGGCTGATGAAGTCTTTCTGATGAAAGCCGAAACATCTCTCCCTCAAAGAAACTGTCCAGATGACCTGATTTATGGAGATGTGAAATTTGTTCTGAAAATGCATGATCAAGCATCTGACAAGAAACTGTTGTGAGGTATTTTCAAACAAACTAGCAAGTAAGCATGCTTCAACAGCAACTCTGGCTCGGGTTGACGCTCTGACCTGGTCACTGTGTGCATGTTGGCCCAATGATTTCAACCAAACTGAAAATAGTTTAGTGTCATTTGTGAAATGACCCGAGGGACATTTGGTGATCGAAGCTGATCCACCAGGGATTCATAAGAGTTTGTGTGTGTGTGTTGTTGTTGTTTTTACCAGTGTCTGGTTGTTTGTCTGTTGTCAAAATATTTCATAAACTACTGGACGGCTTTTGATAAAATTCTCAGAAAATAACCATTTGATGGGAAATTATCAATATTTTGGGGCCAACTTGTTTTAAGATAGCTGCTGCAGAAAAATCCAACGTAGCAAATGAACAAATGACTATAACTGAGTAAAATGACCAGATATTGAGCTAAACTTTAGTGTGATGATAGCTAAGGGTTGGTCACAAGACACTACACTACTCTGAGCCCTAACAGCTCGCATGAGATCTTGTAATGTTGTGTAAAGTCACTTGTACTGTACTGTTGTTTGTCGAGGCTTGACCAAATCGGTTTCAACTCCACCATTTCTCAATATAAAAAGATCTTAGTTTAAAACTCTGGAATGAAAGACGATGCATTCCTTAAGGGAATGCAAGACTTTTAATTAAGTTAGTGGTCAATTTGGACTGAACGCCAGTCTCCTCCAGTAAATTAATGTGGACAAAATCGAATTGGAGACATCTCTATTTAAACACTTCTGGCATTTTCTACCTGTCAAGGAGGCATGAGTATTGGCCCTACCTATGTTGGCCATCTCTGGCACCATGGCAACGTAAGGCTCATCTGGGAAGACAGGTGGGTTGTCATTGATGTCCTGCACTCTGATGATGAACTCTGAGGATGGCTCCAGGGCTCGGCCCGTCTCACGGTCCAAAGCTGTTGCAACGAGACGATACTGGTCCTTCTCCTCTCGGTCCAGAGACTTAGTGACATGGATGTTTCCCGTGTTGCTGTCGATGACAAACACTGAGCCAACCCCCTCCCCCTCCAGCACATATTTGGTGCGTCCATCACCTCGGTCCATGTCTGTGTGCAGCTGGAAAAATGAGAAACAGAAGTATCACCGTGACACCTTCAGGCAGCACCTGAGTGGTGTCCTGATACAGGTATCACTCATTAGCACATTTCTTCATTTGTCTGGCAAGTGAAGCCAACCCGAGTGAGTGAAATGGATAAATTATGTTAAGATGGGATGTGCTCCGTGGATGTGAGAGGAATGGCACCAGGTGTGGAGGATACATATGGGACCAGGATGTGCACTGATGCATGCAGCTAATTAACTCATTGGACCAAACATGCCATTGGAGGTTTGTTGGGGTGTAAATCCACATCCACGTGGACAGTGGCTCTACAAATGTCATATATGTATATTCATAGATGCATTCCGCAAACAACGCCCATCCTCATCTGTAAATCTTTCAGTTCCATTTTATCCATCTGCCCCTGCATTCCCTTTTCGTCTAAATCCATCTGCCTGACTTTCCTCTACCTTTTTAAACCACCCTTTTCTCCTCTTCTTGTTTCTCTTCTCTTTGCGTCGTTACCTCGGTTACACAGATTGCCCATCTGCTCACATTTCTTTTTCCCCGCGCTCTGTCTCTCTAGCTCTCTGTTGGTCTGAATCTGTTTGTGCTCTTTGGTGCAGTATGGGGTTTAACGGCAGTGAAGATATTAGTGTGATCTAGAAAGGCAAAAAGGCCAAACATCCAGAAATAGAAGGTGAAAGAGATTACTCAGCCTTCATCCCATTGAGCTTTCTGACCAGGACCTCGGACATGCCTCTGTCCTCAAGGCATGTTTACACTTCGATAATTCACAACTCACAACTTCGGTTGTGGACCTCAGATGCTCGAGAACCAAAGCCAGCACTTTACGAATACATAAATGTGAGGGGCAGGTTTAGGTTGTTTTACCAAAATCCTCACATGAAAATTGAGCACAAAGAACAAAATGTGTAATAGTTTATATTGTTAGAATTACAGTTAGTCAGACAATGTGGGCGCTAAAGACTGATGTCTGCTATAGAGTCATTATGTTTTGCCACTTGAAGGCTTGGGCATTTTCAAGTGCGGAAAAGCTGTGACTAAAGTTTATCTTGTACAAAGCTCTTTGAAAGTTATGAATTAAGATAAATGAAGTTTTTTTTAGTGGGAGTGGTGGCACAGAGGTTAGAGAAGGTAGGCCTGTGATCAGAAGGTTGCCGGTTCAACTCCCCAGACCCACAACATCAAAATGTGGGTGGGAAAGGTGAAGCACCCACACCTGTCTCCACCCTCATTTGCCCCACTCAGGGAGCAAGTCCCTTAACCCCCACCATCTGCTCCCCCGGGCGCCCTAGATATCAGCTCTCTGCTTCACACAGAGGCTGTGGCAGCTCAATGTCGGTGGTTGTGTCAGGAAGAACATTCAGCATCAAAACAATCGCCAAGTCTTCATGCGAGTTAGTTCGCTGTGACGACCCCTGAAGAAGGAGCAGCCCAAAGAAGAAGAAAAGAAGAGTTCATTAGAACATATTCATCGGGTATTCATGCACAAATGAGTTACTTTTGGACTTAAGATAATAGATCCTAGATGGCTGCCACAGCTAGGCAACCTTATAGAGAATAACACAAAGTTTGTTTTCTCAGTCATCCAGGTATATAACAACAAAAAAGGTTGAATCATGTCATCTGGACTTCGTTTTTTTTGTTAAAAAAGAAACGTTTCGCCCCTCATCCAAGAGGCTTCGTCGGTCTGAGGTCTAGCCATCTGGTATTACCCAGAAGCCACCCTGACTCTTGTGTTTCAAGCCTGCCTCAGATACCCCTGAAGTTTTTTTTTGTTTTTTTAACAAAAAAAACGAAGTCCAGATGACATGATTCAACCTTTTTTGTTCTTATAGAGAATACATCAGTATCATCATGATCATCATCCTTTTTCTTCTCTTCTTTTCTTTTGGCTTTTCCCTCTTCAGGGGTTGCAACAGCGAGTCATCCTCCTCCATCTCACTCTGTCCTCTGTGTCCTCTGTCCTCTCTCCAACTTCCTCCATGTCCTCTCTAACTACAACATATAACTCCATATAACTGTAACTTAGTCAGTTTTACAAATATTGATCTAAAATTTGACGTGTTGTTCTTGGCTGAGAGTCTTCCTCTACGCTGAGCACTCCACATCGTGTTAATATCTTTTAGAGTAAACAATGTTTGTTAGCAAAATGTCTCAGGAACCACTGCATATAATTTAAAGATACTTCATTAAGTAATCGTTGAATGTACATGTACAACTCATTTTGTTTTGATGGCGATTACATTAAAGACGGAGAGCTAAACAGTAATCTGCCCTCAGACTACCTGTTAGCTCATCAACCCAGTCAGAATTAAACTCTGTTCCTTCAAAGTGACACTGTTTAGAATAACTATTGTCAATAATTAATATAAAGATATTATTTTTACAACTCTTTGTCAAAATCCCCTCTTCAAAATGCAGCTATAACATGACCGTTTTTTAAACATGAAGGACTTATTTAGGCTATTTTAAAAGGTCTTGGCATGCAGATTGCTTTTACACAAAGAACGAAACCAATCTAAAAGCCTTTGGTGTTGGGGATACAGTCAGCCAAGTCATTTGTGAGCTAAAGTTAGACTTTCAACTAATTACGTTTCCTCATTTACTGCACATCAATGCATTAAACCAATAAACGTTCACGCAACTCTGCACAGCATGCTCGCTGAACACACAGGTGGAACCTGTTCATTCACTCTGAGAGTGGTGCGTTTGTTTTGAACATAGAGATTAGGGATTAAACCCACTCATAAACTGATGAAGTGCAGTTTTTAGTCATCCTCTCCTCCGTCTTTCTTTAAACAAACTTTGTGCTCACTCTACCATCACAGACCTCTTGGTCCAAGTCTGTGCCTTCTTCACTCCCTTGCTTGCTACTCCCCTACATAGCCTCTCTCGTTCAATACAGACAGCACCCCCCCCCCCCTCCCCCGCACACACACTGTCTAATTGCTGGCTCAGTTCTTGCTGTACATGTCGCATGAAGGAAACATTCTCATGGCAGGAAAGGAATTTAACCACTCCATAGAAACAAAGTGAGAAAAATGGAAAATTAAAAAGCAGATTTTCTACCCCCCCCCCCCCCCACACACACACACGTAATTTCAATCTCTCCACAATTCACCCTCATGGGCTGCAGATCTGTCTGTGGGCTCATATGTGTCTCTCTTGCAGGGACAGTTGTCACACCTGCTGGCTCACCTACAGTCTTGCAGCAGTTAAACTGTTTCGACATTATCGTCTCTAGTTTGGGCAAATAAAGTGAGCCACCTCGGAGAGGGCGCCTCCAACTCCTCTGCAAAGCAGGAGCACTTTATTACATATCTACAGCTAGACTGAGCCTTGAATAGGAAGGGGCAGCTCCTGTGACTACTGATTGCTTTAACACCCCTCCCCAACTGTATCAATAACAACCAAAGAGGGAAATTAAAACATTTATGAGCTGCACACCGCACCGGGAAGGATCCAACCTGGACTGTCACTATAGTATACTACTAGCTCCAAAGTGGCTGGCAGCCATCCCTGTTAGTGTTACAGCTGATATAATCCCGCTCTGAGTATGCTGCAGCTGTTGGAGAGGAGTTCCTGACTGAGAAATAACACGAGTAAACGTCAGGGTTCAGGTAGGCTGCAGACTAAATCACCTGCCGTCACTTCTCACATGGCCACGCTGACAGCCGATGAAGGCAGCCTCTGCTGCAAATGTAAAAACAGCCAAAGAACGTAACCCAACAACTGGGGGTGCTGCTGTAGAAGCAGAAAGTTACATTTTGATTCATGCTGTGTTTCCAGATGGATTGACACAATTTCAGCAGACAATAATAAGAAAGTTCTGCTAAGCACACAAGTGGTGTTTAATGGATTAAGACAAAAAGTCATTTAAAATGATTCTGTGATTTAATGTCCCTGAAATGTACTTTGCTTTACAAAATGACAGCTGGCATCCAAGCAGAGAAAACTAACCCAAGATCAATTCATGACTGTGACATAAAGTTTAATTTTACTCATCATTATGTTGAGATTATTTTAAGTGTTGGTCATAATTCTGCTAAGTAAATGACAAAGAAATGTCTGCGCCTGCTTTGCTTCCATTTGCACTGACGTTACTGTGCTGATTACAGAGGACTAGTTAAGGGTCTGGGAAAGGCAGGCAGTAAGAAATATTTGATATTAGACTAGAACTGTGACATCATTTGCTGCTCTGCCAGAAAAAATTGCTTTAAAGAAGTGGGTCCATACTGAAGAACCAATAATGGCTTACTCTAGAAAGCTCAGTTTCAAAGCTGATTTAATCATTTTAAATGAACTTCAATTGTAAGAATTTGAAAGTGGTTCATGCAAGTTATTTAACACTTTACACACAATTCCAAGTCCTGTAAAATATGAATTCTGTCAAAAATAATCTGATACTCTTGCCTGATGCTAGGCTTTAACAAAATGCACATTTGTTCATGTAAAATTCAGCTGTACGCTGCAAAATGATGGTGTAAAATCTATGAAGTATTATTGAAATCTCCCACAACCACTAAAAACTTTGAAAACTCACGATGACAACAACCACTTTGATTTTTGCTAACTTTATTATCTTACCATCAAAGTTCATGCTCAATAATCCAGGTAATAATCCAACAATGTTCAGTCAGGCCATCTGAATGGTTTCATTTTTTACTGAGACGTTTCGTCCATCAATCGACTCCTCAATCATGTTGATGTTTGTTTTGAACAAAATTTGATAAAATTATGCTGTGAGCAATTTATGCAGCACTAATCCTTACACTGTGTCTTAGCATTCAGAGTATTGCTGTGAAGGAGGAGTCTCATGTTCAAGATCAAAATGTAGCTCAATTGTAGCTATTTTTGAGTTCAATATAGACTTAGATTCAGATTCAAACACAGATACAGTTTCACATGTTGAACATGTGGTGGAATGAAATTATGTACACAGTGTCCCAGTTACATCCAACAATAAAATGTAAAAGAAAAATAGTAATAA